TGGGCCATATTAAACAACATAATTGAAAATATCATATATTACATAAATATAATATGCTTTATATCCAAACTCCCAAACACTAAGCTTCCATTATATATTAACAAGAAAATCAAAATTCAACATAGCCATATAATTGAAAGATGTTAAACCTAGCAAAAATCAAAAACATCAATCTAATATACAATAAAATTAAAGGCAAGTCTATCCCATCTCAACATATACAAGTCTACCTCCTTATAAGTTAACACAATTCTCTACTTCATCACTTATTATCAATAAAATAGAACCTAGCATCACACATTGAATAAAGTTTATTAACTTATATACCAAATTATTTTCAATAATCTTAAACAACAATTGCATGTATAAACCTAACAATATTTCTGAATTTTTATGACTAAAAGAAGACAATAAAAGCTGTTGGAAAATAGATAAATATAATTATAGAGCCTTAACCACCTTCAAAACAAAACTACTATTCAATTCATTATTCACAAGAGACAAACTTTACAAAAGATATTCAACATTATACAAAGATCCAAGGTGTCCTAGATATGATTATGCAAAAAAAGACCAGTTTCATATCTTCAATTGTATTGAAAGCAGGGAAACAATAAAAAAAAAACTGTTTAAACTAAACATAATCCTAAAAAAATAAAGCAAAAATCGAACACAAACTAATTTAATAATAACAATACTTGAATCAATCAAAGGAGACACTCTACTTAACATTGCTATAGGAAAGTTCAATCAGTATCTAAACTTATTATTCAGTAAAAAATTACAAATCCAACTGATAAACATATTATTAAAAATCTTCTATAAAATTTGCAAACAAAGATTGGCCACGGTCGATACTTTATTAATTAGCAGAATCAAATAAAATAACACAAAAGCAATATATAAACCCAGCCAAGGAGAAAATAAAATAAACAACAATAATATTCTAAAAATAATTATTGAGTCATCAAACTTACTAAACAACTTTATACAAAAATTATTATTTCTTTCCTCAACAATTACATAATTTTTGAATAGCATTAGCTATTCGATCCTATTTTGGTGAACCTGGATACTGTTTAGTAGTGCAGTATAATAGGAAAATAACAATAGGCTATAGTTAATTTATCAATGTAAAGACTATTAATATCATGTTTAAGAATTAATTTTCTAATAAAAACCCGCATTTAATGCTCATTTGTAATAATAATGATAAAAAAAAAAAAAAAGAATATATAGTTTAAAATAGATTTTTTTTCTTCTATTATTTCAATAATATTGATAAAGTATAACTTTATAAATATTAAAAAAAAAAATAAAACAAAAAATTAAATTTTCGAAACTTTTTTAATATTATTTATATATCTATTCTTATAAATAAAAATAAATTCTTAAAGAAAAAACAAGAATAAAAGTAAATAAATATTAAAATTTTTAAAATAATAACTATAAAAAAACTCTATATAATAGATTTTTTTTGTAAATTATTAATTTTTAAATTTTATTTTTCAAAAGAAATAAAAGTATTTTATAAATTTTATATGTCAATTGTTTTAGAAATTCATTATTATTAATAAATCATAATAGAGATTGTTTTTTTAACTTATTTAATTTGAAGATTATTAAATATATCAAAACTATATTTTGAGTCAATTATAGTTAAATTAAATCTAATTTAAACCAAATATTATTTCAAATATATTTAAATTAATTATTCTTAAATTTTAATTTAAGAATTAAAAAACAAAAAGTTTAAAAATTAAATTTAATTATGATATATTTTTTAAAAAAATTATATATTGTATGGATGTAATTTACAATTTAAAATTTGTTACAAAAATTTTTTAATTAAAATATTTAATTTAATTAAAATGCTATAAAAATTTTATTTGAATTTTTTATAAATTTTAAACTATTTTAAATTAATAGTATTACTATTATTGATACCATTAATATAAAAGATTAAATTAGATTTGTATAAATATAAAAATGTTATTACAAAAATATTGGCCATTGTATTATGTAACATTTGACTTAATATTAATACTAATTATAAATAAAAATAAAAACTAGGAAACGGGAACCATTAGAGTCCGGAGCTTTTGATACTCGGATGTAGCACGACTCATCGACGCAATAATTGTTAATTGGCCGGTGACGACTCAAAAATTGAGCGGGCGGACATCAAGACAAAAATTTTTAATGCGCATAAGCATATATAGTCTTCGCATGTACTTTAAATTATTATAAAAAAGTAGGATTCAGATGATGGTCCAACCATCTTATTTAGCAATTCCAACTACCAATCACTCAAGTGTGCTATCTCATTGCCACTTAATGCTGCAAGTTTTCCCTGCTCTGTTTCCAGCCTCGGGCTTGTTCCCCTGCTATTTAAGAACCTCCTGACCCAAATTTACATTCAAGCCAGAATGTTCACATCAAGTTCAAATGAGACACTACTCTCAACATGCGGCGTTAAGAATTGTGAATCCAAATAAGGATTATCCCACCACCCTGTCCTCCAGACGCAGAGTTACAGTCAACTGCCAAATTGACCGACAATAACATTTGAATGAGGATAGTTATAAACCATCTCAATAGTAAAAAAATAAAAATTATGGGATATATTGCATAATCATGAGTTTTGCAGATCACATGTACAATTATTTTGTCATCGCGCTTTGTAAATATAATTTAAAAAATATTTCTTTACATCCGTTTGTTTGTTAAAAAAGAAAGTGGAACTAGATGCAATAAGGATATTCGATACTGCGCGGGCAAAATAAACAGTTGATTCATCGACCAGTTCGAAGTCGAGAAGTAAAAAAACAAACTAACTTATGATTTTAATGATACTGTAATTCCGAAACTGAACAAAAACGACTTCATGAGGAATCGTTATCAACTTCGTTTACAAAAAATACGATATAATTCATTATTGTCCTAAGAAAGTGCTTTCCATTTTAATTAATTTTTTTATGTACAGATTGAAACTAGTAAGAATCAAGAGTCGATCGAATTTATCAACTCGCGATCTTTAGAAACTCCGTAGGGAATCATCAGGATAAGATTATTTTGAAGTCGAATATCCATTTGTGGCTGTGAGGTGAAAATGGAAAATTTTTCAAGTTCGTCGATTCTAATAATTTAAAAAATGCGGAATACCGAGTTGAGAAAAGGTCGATTCGAACTGAAGTTGAATATAGAAAGGTTAGCGAGTGCAAATATTAATTATTAAATTCGTTTAAATCATTTTTGTGTATTTTCGCACTCGCACAACTTGAATCATTTGTGCGAAAGAAAACGCTCCGTCAAATTTCCTACGTCACATATATGAATCAGATTTTTCATCGTGATTATATATTTAGCGTAGGGTTTGAAGGCAATTTCTATGCAACATTCGATTTCGCACGTAGGATTTTTTTATTTCTGGGTTGGGTATATCGATTTCGTTATCGTTCTACCGAGTTAATCTAAAAATATTGAAAAAAAGAAAGAAAGAAAGAAAATATTTGGGTTAGCAATGAATGCTAAGTAAGAATGAGGGCGCGAAAAGAAGTGCAAATCCATTTCCTCCTCCAAAATCAATAACCAAAATGTAAAACCTCATTCTTCCGCACCTCCAATCCCCGAAATACAAAATCTCCGTTCTTCCACACTACCAATCGCTGAAAGTGCAAATCCACACTCCCAATCGCCGAAACGCAACGCCCTATTCTCCACATGTCAATCTCGTACATCCCATGTATTTACCGTATGTTAGTACCATATGTCATTACTTACCGTGTATTGTATAGAAAGAATAAAGCGCATCCCATTACTTACATTTTTATCTTTTTCTCTTGCATGTATACTTTTAAAAAGAATAATGAGAAAATTTCGACGGCAAGTGTTTATAAAAAGCGAAATCTACAGTATTAATAGTATTAATATGTGTTTATAGGAAATAAAAGAAGAATTCACTAGTGTGAGAAAAGAAATTTTTATTTGAACGCGTTTCTAATGAATACATGAAAATTTTATTAACACGGTATTATATGATACGTACTGTACGTAGGGAACTGTTTTTTCACATGAGATAATAAACAGCGCCTTGTGCGATACATAAATTCACATGTAGATTACGTACACTTATCGTACGTACGTAAGCTTCTTTTCTGCGAATATTACGCGCACAATCGAAAATGCATGACATGATAACCCGACCGTTCACATACACAATAATGAAACGTCGCAGAATCAAAAAATTTTATTAGAAAAAATAAAAGTAAAAATAATAATATTATAAAATTTCTTAATTAGTCCTGTCGCGAAATAATGAGTGAAATAAAAATCTTTTTAAAACAAGAAAAGAGATTAAAGATTTTCTAATCCGGTCAATCTCTTGTAAAAGGTGGAGACTACTTCTAGTGCACTCGTTTTTTTCATTATCACTGCAAGACCAATCAAAGCCAGCAGCAAATATTTACTATTCCAATATTTGTTGACTTTAGCTTTGCCGTCTTGTGACTTTCCGACCATGGGATCAATCGTATTGTAAAGAATTATCGCTTCTGGTGCACCCGCCCACGAATGTCTTCCAAGCAAACGATACTGAAAAAAAAGTTTCGATGCAACTTATTAATTATTAACTTTAAGAACAAACATCCGAATTACAAACCTGAATTGGGCTCAGTAGGCCAAAATAAACGGCCATCCAAATTCTAAATCCATGTTTTCGAAGAATTTTAAAAGAATTTGGATAACAACCAATATCTTTGGCTAGTTCGTCCATATAAGAGGTGAAATCGACTTCAATTGTGTGTCGCGCTGAGGTATAGAATTGCATTTGAATTTTTGCTTGATTGTCTCGAATGTGTTTTTCCATTTCGGAGAGAGATGGTAGTGGTTCGATGAAACCTCTGATTTGACTCGTGATGTAGCGACATTGCATCTCACTAAAATGAAATAACCGATTGATATAATATTGCGATGACGATCAACATCATGAAGAAGTAAACTTACGCGGCGGGAAAGATAGGTCCATTAGGCTGAACAAGCCCGACAAAAGCAATGTTCGGATACTTTGGTGGAAACATCATTTTATACATCCAAACTAGGTTCTCCCTGTACTCTTCATCGAATTCTTTCTCGATCTCCTCGCCGCCAGAAACAATAGCCCTGTCCAGAAACGGAAATTCAATATTATAACCCGTGGCGTAGACGATAGCATCAATATCTTCCAAAATACTTCCATCCACAAATTCAACCTGATTATTGGATTTCATTTCTTTGATATTCTGTTTAACGATAATAGTACCAGTTATAATGCGTTCAAAAAGGGAAGATTTTATTGTTACATGAGAGGAGAAAATTGATTCTTTTGGTTTTAGGCCAGAAGGGTGTTCCCCGATAGTATTTCTAATGGACCTCTTGTAATAGGCCGCCTTGATGGAGGATGGCAACATGCCAGTGATCCTGGATGAATAATCGAGCGGTTTTCCGTTTAAAATACGAGGGAAAACCCACGGGAGTGTCCCTGTGGAAGTAGGATTATAGTCGAGTTTTAGAATTCCATTCAATTGAGCTTAAAAGTGGCATTCAGATTTAATCTCGAATTTGACCTCGACGAACGCATAAATAAACTTGCGAGGCGACAGAAGACAACTCAACCGCGATATCAAGTCCACTATTTAAATATGAGTGAGTTGGTGATATGTAGCAAATCTTAACTTCGGATGCCGCGCACTCTAGAACAAAATATGATACCTATTTCCGGCCCCAACAACCAAAACGCGTTTGTCTTCAAAGTTTTTTGCACTAATCACAAAAAAAAAAAATAATAATAATAAACGGTATATAACCATCGAGTATTAATGACAATGTAATATCGTGAAGGTCATACCGCCTGTAAAAGTGTGCATGCATCTGTTCACCCTTGAACACATCCATTCCCTTATATTTCGGCCATCTATGATAACGATGATGACCTGTGCAGACCATTACATAATCAAAGATTTCTTCTTTTTCCTCATTATCGTCGCCACCTCGAGTTACATATTTTAATCTCCAACGTTTATCCGGAAGAATTGATACATGAGTCACTGGACTGTTGAATTTGATGTGTGGCCGTAGATTAAAATGTTCGGCGTACATATCGAAGTATCTTTCATATTTGAATGCGAATTTAATATTAGTGATATAATATTGAATCGCAAAATAAAAAAATAATCTTTCCTGCCCGTACTTTGCGACGAGAGAATTATGAAGGTAAACCGGCCAATCCGGAGGAATCGGAAAATCCGAAAAGGTCATCTAATAAAGAGGAATATTATGATAAAGATCACGACAAGCTGCATATTCTATAGTAAAAAACTTATCACGAACTCTTTTGCTAGAAGTGTCAATTATGACACTTTTAAAAATTGACGAATGAGGATCGTCTTCCGCATTATCAATATCTACGTATTTCCAAAGCCCACCGGTATGCGAGTTCTGTTCGAAACAAGTGGGTTCCAATTCATCATCAAGACATTGTTTTATTGCTGCGAGACCCGATGAACCTTTCGTGATCAAATAGAAAGTGAGAAAAGAAGAAAGAGACGAAGGGTTAAAATAAAAAAAATAAAAAAGGATTCGCTTAGTACATCTTGGTTAGTCGGTCACGAATTATAATAAAATGTAAAGTTATTACCAGCCCCAATAATAGCTACACGTAGTTTCTTTGTATCCATCTTACCAAACAAACAAACAAAAAAAAAAAGAATTCGGCTTATTACAGTATTTATATATTACGTGCCAAGTATCTCGAAATGTGAAATTTTTCTTGACA